CCGGTTCAGAAAAGGATACATTGGGTTGGTGATATCCTAGCTTGCGTCCATTTCGAACTCTGAGGTTATTCGATTAGCTTGCGATTGGTTGTATCGTGTGCATTTACACCAGGTGCACAGATGTAGAGACTGCGTATATGAAATGTCAATGATTTACAAACTTTCGATTTTGATTGTATGGATCATGCTCTCGTGTGAATAAATCATTAACCGGTTCTTTTCTGAATGTCAGATGAAAAAATATCTTTGTAGCATGATTGCTATTGCTTTAATCATAGTTCCATCTTGCCTCCTTACAGTTGTTGCGAAAACATTGTGAAGAGGTTGCTCGATGGGAGTGCATTGACAATGGTAAACCGATTACTGAGGCCCGAATGGATGTGCTCAGCTGTATCGATACCTTCAACTACTACGGCGGAATAGGTCTGTACCGTATACATGTGCTTTCATAATTTTGATGAACTCAATCTGATCTAGGGCAATCACTTGTTGGTCAACATATTCCACTGTGTAATAACCGATTTGCCTACACGAAACGGGAACCTCTCGGAGTTGTTGGATGTATAGGTTAGTTAATTTGCCCATTTTGCACCACTTTCAGGTAGGAAATGCTGTGAGAAAGATTTCGCCTTGTAGGGCGAAACCAAAAAAACCATCTGAAGCCAAAACCACTTTTTACTAAACAAGTTACGTCACAACAACTTCACCATCTCAATAACTATAAACTCGTCCAGTCGCTTCTGCGCAGAAGGATATGATGAACTATAGGAGACATACATTAGCAGCTTTATATCTAACACTGCCTAATCGATCTTACTGTGCACATGGTGTAATTACGGGCAGCATACCAAATTCAAAAAATAGATTCGTTGGAAAAATGTAACAGGCCCATTTTGCGCCATAATATTTAACTTGTTCTTTTGACTATTATGCGCAATTGCACCACATGTACGGCAGATTGTGCTTGGTTACATTTTTTAAATGTTAATAATTATTTTGTTGAATCATGTTGTTACTGTTAATGTTGTTTTTCACCCCATTAAAACTGCTTCCAGCAGTAATGGGTCATTCCTTTTTGAGCCCCTGGGTTGCTAGCAGCACTGAATATACTGCTCTGGGCAGGTTTGATCTTCACTAGCAATACTTTGAAATAAATAAAGATTTCTACATGGAATTATCGGACTTTTTGTTTTAGAGAGGGAGAGAAATTTTCGAGGAAGGGA